CCCAGTTTACTTAGAACGTGTGGCTCTGTGTCCCAAACCTACTCACCTGTATCAACCCAAACAGCATATTTGAACCTTCAAATTATTTTTCACCTAAAAAAGAATTTTTGAGATCTTTTCTATTGCAGTTAGGATGAACTGGATCCCTTCTGATTATCTATGCTTCTAAATATTGTTAAGTGTCCCAGGAGAGACTGACTTGCATTTAGCATGCCAAAAGCACACTACTTGCAGGTGGTGCATTTCTTTTTCTAATGACAGCTTATAAAAAAGATTGTAAATTTTTTTAAATTTTATTTTATAACATAGCCATGAGGAAAAATTGTCAGCTTTCAGGTTTTTTTTATTGCTTTCTTGAAACTCTTCATCGTTTTTCGGATTTCTTCTTGTAATTCCGTGTGCATTTCTTTTGAGAAATGACCAGGGAGAAAGAAAAACAACAGAGAGAAGCCAAGTTGTTAGTACTGTTAATGTTTTTATAAACCAATAAAAGAATGTTGGGGGAAATATTTGGGAAAACAAACAAAAATAAAAGTCTTGTCTGGATTCCAGCACAATACCAATGAAATATATGGTATTTTCTCTCCTCATTGTATAATCAGCTCAGTTATTAAGTGAACTCTAGAGTGAGTAAAATAGGAAAAACTTGGAGGCAGAAGGTGCAGAATTTGGTCCCAGTAGTCTCAAATTGGTGAAATTAATGATAAAGGTGCCACATGGCTGAGTGGACCAGGGGAGACAGGGTGAGGGAGTAAGCAACGGATGTTGGGAGTCATAAATGATAGACTGGTTTGGGTTGGAAGGGACCGTAAAGCTCATCTAGTTCCAGCTCCATTGCCATGGGCAGGGACACCTTCCACTAGTCCAGGCTGATCAAACCCCTGTCCAGCCTGGCCTTGGGTTGTTCCAGGGATGGGACATCTACCACCTGTTCCAGTGCTTCACCACCCTCATTGTAAAAAATCTCTTCCTCATACGTAGTCTGAATAAATGCTCTTTTAGTTTAAAGCCATTACCCCTTGTCCTGTCAGAAGGTTGATGGTTTGTCTCCTTAGATGGAAAAATAGAGGTATTGGAGGAAGGAGTGAGAGAAGGACAGTGGGGCTACTGTATGGGACAACAGGCATGTACAGAGGGGAGAAAAAGATTTTGGCTGTGTTAAAATCCAAGCAAGTGGATCAAGCAGTCAGAAAGCATGGCTGGTCTGATATTTCCATTTTGAAAAATGTTTTCCAAGAGTTTCAATCAATCTAGAAACTTTTCAGTTCTTTCTGCAACCAGGAGATCCAGAGGCACCTGGCTTAATCTGTTGATGTTCCCTCCAGCTTCCCCCTACTACAAACTATTAGTTGGCAGTCCTTCCCAACGCAATTCCTCTCCCTTTGCCTTACCTATGGCACCCTGGATCGGCAAGAAACAGCCATGCTGTGCCTAATTTTATGTTTTGCATGTGCCAGTTGGCTAGTCAGTTGGCAAAGGCTGGTCACCAGGTGGCAGGTGCCAAATGCTCACCTGATCTTTACTGATCATCTATCACCATTAAATTGGCAGACTGAGATGTCTTACCCCTCCTTCAAGTCTGGCTGAAATGTGTTTTCCAAGCACAGAGTGGGGAGAGAGCCAAGGGATGACAGAGATGGAGAGCAGGCTACAGAGGTTTTTCTGTGTTGCAACAGTTCATGGTAACAATGACAGACTCATTTGCACCTTTTCTTGGATGCTTTCTGAAGATTGATTCCCACCAAACCCTAATCAGGTTGAATAAATCAATTGCATGGGTCAATACACAGAGGCAATAAAATATTTCAGATGCAGTGAGAGGCAGGAAACCTGATTTTTTTTTTTTCCAATTTTTTGGGGGCAGCTGATGGCTTCCCAAATTGTCCACATGATAAAACACCAGTCCAGAGATGTCCTCTGCTTTTTTGCAAGGATTGTGGGGATCAAAGTACCCCAAAAGAAACAATTGTATATTCTGTTATCCAGAAAGCATTGTTTTCCTTTGAGTCCATTTCAAATATGTGTGTGTATGTTTACACTGTAAGGAGGGTGTACCCATCAGATACTTTTCCACATTAATATTTTCTGGACAAATATTGCAGTATAATACTAAATGAAACTACTTACAAGTGAAGGCTGACCTTTGTAAGCTATTCCGAAGATCATAGAAAAGTGGAAGGTTTCTCTCTCAGTATTTCAGAGCATGACACTTTCTCTTCAGTGTTGTTTCTCCCCGGCATTCATTTTAAGGTTTACTCAAATCTGTTTATTTGTAAAAAGAATTGGTTTTATTTTAGGTAAGACCACTTTGAGTGCTAAATTAAATTTTCATTTACTTTCTTGTCTGCAAAAAAAACCAGCCTCAGAGACAATAACATATTGTCCTAATCCAAATTCTGTGGGCTACTTCTTTTCGTTTTTATTTTGATCCTTCCAGAGAACTGGAAAATAAATAAACCAGTTTTCACAGTGTAAATAATCCTGCAACATAATGAGCCAAAGGGAAGGGCTTTCCTGGTTTCCATGAATAGGAAATCTAGTATTATTCTTCCTCTAATGTGGCTGGAAGTGGAGCAAATGCAATAAGCTTCTTCCTCTTTCTTATGAAAACAATACTGAGGAATTTAGCTCCCCTATCCTCACTCCCAGTTAAAGTTTTAGAAGATAGGCAGTGATTAGTTGGGTCCCCTTTATCAGCACTAAATTAAACATAAGAAGTCAGCTGTTTAGAGTTTTTCTGTTGTTTTTCATACCCTGAAATACCAGCAAACTGAATTGATCACTGTCAGCTCCTACGCTAGAGGGTACAATACCAGCCAAAGGTCTTTAAAGCAATCCTGGATCCTTATTTAATCTTGTGAAAATACATTCATTATAAAGGATAAATTGCATTTTGGTTGAAAAATTGCTAAGGCACTAGCTTTGATACTAATGAAACATATTGAGATCTTGGCCATGCTTATCATTTCTTTTCAAGCCGAGCTCTTTTGCAGATAAGAGTGGTCTGTTTCATTTTATTTTCATTCATGTATAATTCCTCCCTGTCAGATACTTTATAGGCTGTTGATAATTTCCTTCATCGGCTGCCATGGGTACAGAGGGCAGAGGCAGTTCTGAAACCAGACCTCAGGTAGATTCACTGTTTTTTCCTCTTCACTTCAGATCTTCTACTGGAGCTGGGTTTTAATTGGTAGGTGCAGCTAATGCAGGCCAACACAAAGGCATATGTAAACACCAGGTTAGGTTTGGGTGCATAGCCCTACCTGTCCATGTTGAATGTCTGCATCTGAATTGGAACTTGCTTCCTTTTGGAACTGGAAGCTTACAGACGAAAAGCTGCAGAAATGGGTAGTTGACAAGCTGGAAGGATAAAAGAGGTGGAGAATGGGGTTTGAGTTCCCTCTTTTTAAAGCAAAGTTGAAAATGAGGTCAAGTTCCACCGTTTTTGAGATGCGTGGAGGATTTCTCAACACTTCTAAATGTGGGTATGTTCTGGCTTTGTCCCTTGCAGAAAGAATGAACAGACAATGAGGAAGATGAGACTGATGGGATGGTGGGCACCCATCTCTCAGGGGATTCTGTCTTCATCGCTGGTATCTCAGCTGCTTCAGAAGCTGGTAGCAAACCCCACGGGCTTCAGAGCTCCTTGAAGACCCTCTTAGCCCACCTAGGACATAACCTAGAGGCCTTGAATGATCAGCTAGTACCTTGTTCGTGAAGAGAGAAGCAAAGCTTTTTGGTTTCTCATAATTATGGGTCATTAAAAGACCTGCTTGATTTTTTTCTTAAGTTCTGTATAATTGCAAAATTACAATATGTACTTTTTGTACATATTGCCAAATTTCAAAAAAGAAAAAAAGTTTGGGGAAAAAAGGGCAGACACAGAGAAGCTGGGAAAGCTCAGCCATGTCACCCTGTTGCTGGTGGTAGGCAACTGGTCAATTAGTGTGCATGCACTGCCAGCCAATTAGCATGGACACAGCTCCAAATCAATCAGTGCATGATTGCACTGCATTTTGCACCATGATGAAATCATAGGAAAATACAAGTAGAGGGAAAAAATTATAAGCAGAAAGGCTGTCAGATGGGAAAGGATGCAAATCTTTACGAAACAGAAATTCCATTGTTTCATGCATTATAAGGCAAGGTAATGAAATAGTCTCTATTTATTGTTAGAGATACTGCTACAGACACCTCTCTATAGATTCTTGCTAGTCTTAGTGTTACTTAAAAGATCACCCAAATTCAGGCACACAAGCATATCTGAGAAAGCAGCAGAGCACTGTGGTATAGCATAGCACCAGCTGATGTAAACAATGAGTTAAAAATACAGCTGAATTTGGATTAATGGTATGTAGATATTAAATCACAGCCCTCCCACTCCATGTGCATGAGTACCTTCCCTGAACTGGTAGCTTTGAGCCTCACAATAATGTAGCCACAACACAACCCAGCTCCTTTATAGTATAGGCTCAGATATGTGCTGCCATATCAAGGCTATACATAACCAAACTCACCTGGATTTCTCCATGTTTCCCATCAATCAACAGAGTCCTGACTGCTCAGGTCTTCTTCTTCTCTACTCTGCTGTCCTGCCCCATTTTCATTTCTTCCAGCCCACAAGGGAAAGCAGCTTTCCTAAATCATTGACCACTCTCATCAGGTATTATCCCATAGAATCCTAGAATCCCAGGTTGGAAGGGACTTCAAGGATCATCTCATCCAACCTTTTGGCAAAGCATGATCTAGACTGGATGGCTCAGCACCCTGTCCAACCGAATCTTAAAAGTGTCCAATGTTGGGGAACCTGTCCTGAAATAAAACTTGTGAGAAGTTGTACCTTCTGGAGCTAAACACTAAGAAGAAAATTGCACTGATGACTAAGAGCGGTTTTCTTGAACTGAGTGACAGTATTGCCGGCTTTTCAAGGACAGCCCTCTCCAAACAGCAGGACTCTGGAGGTCCAGTGACTCCTCTTTATCTTTGTGTCTCTTCCACAGATGGCTTCTGTCTTCCTGAGTGGGATGGTATCGTCTGCTGGCCTGAAGGTGTGCCAGGCAAAGTGGTGGCTATGCCATGTCCTGAGTACATCTATGACTTCAATCACAAAGGTATGTGTTGACCTTAGTGTCAGCAAAGCTTGGTAAGCTGCAGCAATGGGATGCCTGGGAATCAGAAAATTAAAATCCTCTTTAGCATCCCTGTTTTATGACATGGTGACTCCCTCCCAGTCAGGAGTAAAGCCAGAGAAAGGGAAGTAAAGAAACAACCATTATGGTTTTATGCTGAAAGAAAAGCTCTGTTTTAACCTAGACAATGACAAGTTTCCCATCTGCCCAGCCCAGACTGTAACGGGGTTAGGCACTGATTGGGGTGTCTAATTAGGGTTATAAGCACCAATTGCAAGCTTACAGCTTGGTAGTCTTGCAGCATTACAAATCTGTATTTGTTTGACGCTGCAAACTGCATACCAATAGAAACCTGCAAGATATTCTTCCAATTTATATTCCTCACGCGTTTGTTAATTCTAGCCCCTGATCTCTGCCCAGACCCCTACAGTGGGTTTCTGAGAACAGCTCCAGTAACCAGAACATGTGAATTCCTCCCCATCTCACTTTCCCTCAGGCAGCACATTTCTTGGCTTGCTTGTGGTGCCGCAAAGTCTGTGCATGTTTTCAGAAGCAATTGAAGTACACTCACTCCTCAGTGTATTTTCAAAGCTAAAGCATTCTCTTTTCTCAGGGAAAGCTGTGCACCCAAAGGCTGGCAAATTAGGGAATTAAGACTATATGTTCTCACAGAGTACTGATGCTCTTTTCAGAAAACAAGTAATGATATTCCAGTGCACCGCAGTTGCTCATAGTCTGTCCTGACTTTTCTAGAAGGGCCTGTGAGCTGAGCCAGCTTAACCCCCAGCTGATGACCTCTCACAGAGGGACTGAACGTGCACTTCACACTAGAGGCCAGGAGGAACAGGCAATCCATCCTTTTTCTCTTCACAATCCAACATGGCATAGGTTCCGCACTGCACTGATATCCACTGGTCAAATCAGCTAGTGTGGGAGTCGATGTAAGACTGACTGATTAAGGTGCAGAGGTGTCTATGAGCTCTCTCTCTGTAGTCAGAGGACAGATAGATCTGTTGACTGGTTTCATGGCTGTTAACTGTGATGTGTAACTTCTTACACACAGTTCATGAAATGATACCCACCAGCCTAAAACTCTGCATATGGATGCTTTCATCTGTCAGCTGAAACCTAAGATGAAACTTTGCCTTCTCTTCTTTTGTCATCATCATGGGGAGGGTAGCCATATTAAATTCTATCTTAAGATGCACTGAATCTGTAAAAAAAAAGAGCAGAATAATATAGATTACTGCTTATTTTCATAGGGAGAGCTGCAACTCTGAGGATGATTTTGTGCTTTGGGACTTTTTAAAGCATCTCTCCTTGGTTTGTAGACCCTATATCTTAATCTAAACTAAGTGCAACTTTTTATTAGCTCTCTGGTGTTTCTCAGCTAGAAAATTGATAAAATTGCCGAGGAGGTGGAAACTATGTTCTTGCAGCTGAGCTTCAAAGCAGGCAGGAGGCATCAAGGTTGATAGGAACCACCACTGGAAGAAGCTTTACCTGCTCTACCAGGTCTAGTCCTGTTTACTCTGTTTCTCATCTCTCCCAAAGGCCATGCTTATCGCCGGTGTGACCTGAACGGGAGCTGGGAGCTGGTCCCAGGCAACAACCGCACCTGGGCAAACTACAGTGAATGTGCCAAGTTTCTCACCAACGAGACGAGGGAAAGGGTAGGCAATTGCATTTGTGTGTGGAGAATGAAGTGTTGGCCTCATCCATGGCTAACACTAGGAGCATTCTCTCATTTAAAACCCTTCATGAGCTATAGTTTGCTGCCTCCTCTTGGAAACTATGTCTGATCTTGCCAAAGACACATCTTTGTTTTGTTGTGGAATTATTTGAATTTTAAATTGTCCTCAAAGCCAGAAAGGGTTCTTCCACCTGCCATGATCCCATTTGTAAAGAGATCTTAGGGAAACTTGAAACGAGCTCAGGGACACTAAGAAGTGGCTGGAGCTTGTTCCATGCATTGCAACTCCCTCTTCCCCACCAGGCAATAATTTTGCTACCAGGTTGTTACCAATAATTCCAATGTTTATGTGCTTGTCTGTGCTAGGAGATGTACAAACACAGCCAAAAAAAGGTGTCAATCAAACCGGTAGCAATCCTGTTTCTGTAGGTGATTAATAGAGAACCTCTTGGTTGAGAGGTATAGTTGAAGGATCAGAGGTTTTTAGTCTGTTCATTTGAGATGGGTAGTGACAAAATCCGTTGCTAAAGCAAATTAACATATAAGAACGGATCTTGAACTAATTCTGGTATCATCACAATTTTGAAACAGGGACACCAGTCCAAAGTTAGAGAAAGGATTCCTAAGACATGGAGGAAAAAAAAAGAGGGGGGTGGGGAGGGGCAAGGAGGTGTTTCCTATCAGTACATCAGATCTATTTGCCTTATTTTTACACAAATTCAGGTCATTAGCAAAATAGTAGCTGGCAGAAATTTCCTACCTCTCTGTTTGTGTCTGAGCCCAGCTGAGACTCTGTGGTACTACTGAATGCCTCCCAAGCTGGGTACATCACAGAAGCAATTCCATGCTAATGTGACAGCAAAGCTGTCAGTGGAGTCACCTAAGAGGATGTGACCTTCTCATTTCTCAGAGAAAGACATTTCTACCCACATGAGGTTGCTGCTCTATTTCTGTAATTTGCAAAGAATTTAGCAGAAACCTTTGTTTTCTCAGTGGTACTTGGAAGATGTCCTCCTTGGATATGGCATTAGGGAGTGATCATTTGCAGCACGGGTGATTTTCAGACAGTGGAAGATAAAGATCCAACCACAAGCTTCACAGTGCGGAGCAGGCTTGAGGATGATGCACAGTCCCTTTGGGGGAATGTTCTTAATTTTAAATCCAACCACAGCATAGGGATTTTTTTGCCTTTTTTTTTTTTTTTTCTCACCAGTGAAGCAACATATGAATGAAGTTGTTTAGTGAGGAAAGATGTTATTTGAACATCTGCATGCTTTATATCACACAGTCAAGGAACAGACAAGGTTGTGTACACCAGGTACTACTCTAGCTACTTAACAGCAAAGCATGTTGTCTCAGTGCCAGACAACACTGACATTTAGATCAAGTTTGCTAGGACTTATATTTTCCCAGTCCATATAGTGAAAACAACTATTTTAGCCCCAAGAGATTTCTGGGTAGTTTTCTGGAGTAGCTGTTGGAGTCATTAAAATCTTGCTCACACTAAAAGCTTTAGACATGGACCTATTGGAGAGGGTCTAGAGGAGGGCCACAAAAATGATCAGAAGGCTGGAGCACGTCTCCTATGAGGAAAGGCAGAGAGGGTGGGAATTGTTTAGCCTCCAGAAGAGAAGGCTCTGAGGACCTGTTGCAATAGGATGAGGGGTAATGCTTTTAAACTAGAAGAGGGAAAATTCAGGCTGGATGAGAGGAAGAAATTTTCTACATCGAGGGTGGTAAAATACTGGCACAGGTTGCCCAGAGAGGTGGTAGATGCACAGTCCCTGAAGACATTCAAGGCCAGGCTGCGTGTGATTCTGAGCAACCTTATCTAGTTGAAGATGTCCCTGCTCATTGTAGAGGTGTGGGACTAGATGACTTTTGAAGGTCCCTTCCAATCCAAAATATCTTACGATTTTATGATTGTAAGTTGCACAACTTCTTAAACTCTCTGAAGTCATTGTCTCCCCTGTTCAACCCCTCTCAGCCATGTCCTGAAGTGGGAGTTTTCTGCTGCAGACTTCTCCATCCAAGCAACTCCCTAGACTTCCCTTAGGGAAAAGAGGTCCATTTTTTTAAATGTTCCATGCTGGCAGCTAGGACTTGGTCAAGGTAAAAGTGTAGGAGAAGGGCACAGGGAAGAAGAGAGTTGTCCATTTTTTACTAGCACAAGGAGGATATAAAGACCACTACCCACAGGCTGGTAAAAAGGCTGAAAGCAGTCTGTTATCCTGGGTTTCATGTACCTGTCTCTGTGTCCCCTGAGTGGTCACTGCACAGATAAGGAACATGGACTGTGCTTCCTAATGGACAGATATTTGGTGAGATGTCATGATGCAGAAAACTGCATTTTTACACTCAGCATCCGCTCTTACTTGGAAAATTACTGCTTCTCATAGAATTGTAGAATGGTTTGGGCTGGAAGAGACCTTAAAGTTCATCCAGTTCTAAACCACCCTTCCACGGACAGGGACACCTTCCACTAGACCAGGTTGCTCAAAGCCCCATCCAACCTGACCTTGGACACTGCCAGCGATGGGGCAACCACAGTTTGTCTTGGCAACCTGTGCCAGGGCCTCACCACCCTCACAGGGAAGAGCTTCTTCCTCAGATCTCATCTAAATCTTCCCTCTGTCAGGTTAAAGCCATTCCCCCTTGTCCCATCACTCCTTGTTCTCTCCCTACCTGTCCCTGTCAAAAGCCCCTCTTCCAGCTTTCTTGTAGGCCCTTTTAGGCACTGGAAGCTGCTCTAAGATTGCCTGGAGCCTCTCTTCTCCAGGGTGAACAAGCCCAGCTCTCTCAGCCTGTCTCTTGGCATAGAAAAGATGCTCCAGCTCTCTGAGCATCTTTGTGGCTTCCTCTGGACTCACTTCAACAGGTCCACATCCTTCTTGTGCTTTCCCAGTTTTGGAATTGTATCTTGATTAACAAATGCTTTCCAACAGCTTATATTACTCACTATGATAATCATGATTAACCTTGTATTTGCAAGACGTTGCTTTCCTCAGTCCAGCCCTGCACTCATCTCATAGTGACATAGCTGCATGTGGTCATGTAGTTGCCTTGTTTTACCATACAGGTGGCTTCATTTTAGTAACAAGTGAAGCAATGCATACACGCTGTGGGTCTCTTGGGGCTCCTGGAATGAAAAGCACTCTGGAAATCAAACAAAAAGAAAAGGAATAACCATCTTTTATTTCTCATTTGGGTGATGACTTCCAGAGAGTAAGGAAGGCCTCTTGTCTTTCACACCCAAGACTGGCTCTGAAGCACTGGTATTAATAAACCTTCCTTTGATTATTTTTCTTTTTGAAGTAAATATGTTAAGAGATGTCAGAATCGTGGAATTTGGCAAGATAGACTGGTTGTCTTTAGAGGGAGATTGTTTTCTATTATTATGTCTTCCCCTGGGGAACAGCATCTTTGCATCACCAGTAACAGCTGCATTTAACCAACGTTATGAAAAGAGATCGTGGGCTCACTCCCAAGTAATACAGCATCTGAACAGATGCAACAGAGGAACTTGTAAGAAACTATGCATTAGAAAGCTTTAGGAAAAATGTCTGTCTGTTACTAGATATATATACATCTGCATTACTAACCCTAGAAATAGGCCTGTATTTATAGATAGGCGTATGTACAGATACATACACTTAAATAAACACCCACGTCCATGCACACACGCACACATGTATATGTCCACGTTTGTTTGTTTAAATTTGTAGTTTTCTCAGTTTAGCCACTGTGGGATAATTGTAAGTTTGACCAAAGCAGCAAACATAGGGTCCCAGAGAAAGTTTGCATCTTTCGCTACCTTTTCCTGAACCATATGGGTAGGATTATTTCACACAGAGCAGCATGGAAACCGCTTTCTGAAATTAGCAAAGTATGCTAAAGCCATCAGAGCCAGGAGAATTAACAGCTCGTAACTGCCCAGTGAGCAATTGCTCTTGGGTTGTTTTCTAAGGGAAAATTAGCACTGCTGAAGGACACGGGATTGACAGCACTGAAGACTGATGTCCTCCCTTTAGCCAGGAAAGCAGGTAGGTTGCAGCTAGCTATTCAAGTGTGTTTCCCCAAATACCTTGCAGATAGGATTAATCTTGATGCAAACAACCATGTCCCCCGCATGGTCTGTAGAAGACAATTGTTTACCAAGGATTAGTAAGAAGCTTTGTGGAAAGGTGTCTAAGCAGCATGTCATGGGAAGACAAGACCATTTTCTTTGTGTTTTGGGGCAGTGCTGAAAGCCACCACTACACCACAGTCTGTATATATTCTACCATATTCTTCCTTTAAGATAACACTTCACCAGTTCAGCAGAGATGGTGGAAAATCTTGCTCTCCAACTACTTCTCCAGGAAACATGTATGGGCATCCCCCATCCTAAATACATCCTGTATCTTCAGAAAGTCTCCCTGCCTCTGAAGAGATGAGAGATCTGTGGCTTCCCACCCCAGCACCCTTTGTTTATTTTCCATCAGTGTTTAAAGAGAGAAGGTGGGACAAGGGAAGGAAGGGGAATGTATTGGCCAGTGTTCACTCTTTGAGGAAGGTGGTGTGATTAAACACTAGCTGTTTATCTGTCTCCTGTGTGTTTCACATTGCTGAACCGCAAGCTGCTGAACACTGGCACAGGTATACAGCTATACAGTACCGCTACATAACCACTAGATGACAGACACATAGGTGTGTGTGTGTATATATATGTTCTATATATATTCTGTATTTGATCTGTACTTAAACATCTGTTCATGGGCATGTAGAAGACAGAGACTACAGGTAAAGGGACCTTTGGTCTGGCCCAGATTAGCCATTTGCTTACAGCTTTCATAGGTTTCCTTAAAAATGGGAGGGCTACCTGTGTTCTTAGAGTTCCTCAGTCTTTGGATAAAACATGGCACACATGAAAAGTCCTGGTGTGCCCCTGTCATGAAAAAGCAGCTTTTGGGCAATTTCTCTCCAAAACCCATAGTAACA